ACACACAGTTCTATCCTCATGAAGTCATCTATGTAACAAACATGCACCGAGGCCTTCTAGGCTAGCCCCTCAGCAGGACCGGTGCACAAGATGAACAAGACACTTTTTCTCCCTTCCTCCTTCATCTGGAGGGACCACACATGACAATAAGACAATAAGACTCTGGCGTTGGAGGGGTCAGGTGTAGTGGTATATAATGACCTCTAGAGTCAGAAGAGTCCAGGGCTTAGAATCTAATGATCTGACTTCCCAGGCCAGCTTTGCCTACTTCTGGCTGTGTGACCACAAGTTTCTTCTCTCTCTGAAGCTCCATCCTTTCATCTTAAAAAATGGGAAATAACAGTACTGTCTAAAAGGGCTGAGAGATACGAACAAGGTAAATGGAAACACTAAGTGCCAGGTTTTACAACAATGCAGGGTGTAGGTGGCTGACCAGGCCTTCTCCTTAGCCTGGAAGAGACCGGCTGACACCCGCTGAACCAGGGCAATTGATCATAGCATTCCCTTTCATTCTCAGAAGGGTCCTGGGTTTGCACCATAAATTATGTGGTCATCCTAGCAATAAGTGTGACACTAGAGTTATCTCCACTGTGCCCTGGAGACACAAAGGTGGGAGGGTGGCGGGGCTGACTGGAGGAAGAGATGCTGTGACCATGGAAATGAGTCTGGAAGTATGCATGTGATTACACCAAATGAAGAGAGATAGGAAAGGCATGACAGGCAGAGGGACCAGCATTTGCAAAGGAAACAAAACTTGGTAATTTGGGGCATGTTTAGATAACATCAAGAAGGCCCAATGGCGCTCTCTTTGGCAGCACATACACTAAAAATAGAATGATACAGGGCCACCTGGGTGGCTCAGTTTGTTGAGCATCTGCCTTCGGCTCGGGTCATGATCCCGGGACCCTGGGATCGAGTCCCGCGTCGGGCTCCCTGCTCAGCGGGGAGCCTGCTTCTCCCTCTGCCTGCCTACTTGTGATCTCTCTCTCTCTGTCAAATAAATAAATAAATAAAATCTTAAAAAAATAAAAATGGAATGATACAGAGAAGATTAGCATGCCCCCTATGCAAAAATGACATGCAAACCTGTGAAGTGTCCCATATTTTTAAGGGGCACCTGGCTGGCTCAGTTGGTAGAGCATGTGACTTTTGATCTCGGGGTCATGAATTCGAGCCCCACGTTGGGTGTAGAGATAACTTAAAAAAAAAAAAAAAGGCCAAATGGGTCTATTCTAAGAGGCATGGAAGGAGATGGGGCTGGCAATGGGAACTGTAGAAGGGATTGACATGAGCTGGTGGCTTCACAAAAGAGACCAATTGAGGAATTGGGGCCAAAGTCCAGGCAAGAGAAATAATGAGGCCTGTAGCCAGGTAAGGTTCTCTAAGCACCTTAGAAGTAAACTGGACTTGGATGTGGGGGTTGGAGGACAGGTCAGGGCAGTAGAACTTCCAGGTGAATGGGGAGGTCATTCACTGAAGCAGGTGGGGAGAAGGGAGGGCCAAGAAACCTGGAGACAGGAGGTGACCCAGGTTGGACTTGTGGCATTCACCACTCTTGATCCAGAGACTGTCTCATCTCTCTGATGAGGAAGCTAGGAGCGTGAGCTGGGGATTGCTGTTGGGCACAGTTCCAGCCTGGAGAGGCAAGTGGTCTGAAAACATCGAAGTAGGGAGAAGATTGTTTCATAGGTACAGGGTTTCAATCTGAGAGATAAAAAAGTTCTGGAGATAGATGGTGGTGAAAGTTGCACAAACAATGTGAATATAATTAATGTCACTGAATCCTGCACTTAAAATTGGTTACAGTGGTATTTCATGTAATGTACACTTTACCACAATTCAAAGAAGAGGGAGGAGGAGAAGGTGGAGGAAGAGTTGCCGGCAGACAAGCAAAGTTGAAAGCTAGAGGAGGGCAGGTAGCTCCCGGGTGTGATTGGTCCTTGGGCCCAGTTGCTGTAGTACTTGTCTCAAAGAGTTGCATGAGCCAAGAAACGTACTCTTTTGGCATAGGTTAGTTCACGTTGGGCTTCTTTTCCTTGCATCTGATGGAGTCCTAACACAGAAACTTTCCATTCTCTCTTCTCTCTCACATCCTTTCAGACATTCTCTACTCCTGTCACACCCTGCTGCCCACATTTCCTCAGACCAATCCTGTGCCTCTCCTCCAGGCTCCCTCTGCCCTTTCCCCTACTTTCGAGTGTCAACTCCTACTCATCCTTGGAGACCCAGCTCAAAGGGCTCTTCCTCGGAAAAAGCCATTCCTGACCACAAGGCTTACCATGCCTTCCTCTATATATGCCTTCCTTTTTGTACATGTCTTTGTCACCTAGTATCCCAGTGACCTGCTTTCTTGTCTGTAACCCTCATCAGGCTACGTTGTTCATCTCCATGACCCTCGCGCCTGACAAACAGCCTAGCACAAAGTATCCTAAATGTTTACTGAACGGGTAAATAGATGAGTAAGAATCCTTCTTTCTCTCATTCCATCTCCCTGAGTCACTACTCAGTTTCTACCCAGTGGGGACATAGGAAAAAAAAAAAAAAAAAAAAAAAGTGGGAGGAATTACTTTAGTCTCTCAATTCAAGGGTGAATGGATCCAGAAGGGAAGAAAACCCAGTAGAAATGGGGCCATTGCAAAGTTCAATGGCATTTATGAGAGGTCAGCTTTCTGCCAAAGTCACTGATGGTGGCAGCTTTGAGCTGAGGCAGTTTGTTTGGGTGCCAGTGCTAAGACAAGCGAACATTCAGTGTGCTGAGCTTTTCAGCAAGCTTGGATCCTGACAGCGGCCCCGGGAGAAGCACCTAAAAGCCATCTGGGTCTGCCGGGAATCAGGGGATCCCCATCTCCTTCAACACAATCTGACCCAAGGAACAAGGCAGCCTTCTCCCCCACCCTTTGTCTCCCCACCACAGGCACACACCTCCTCGAAGGGGGCCCTGCAGCTGATCAGGACATTTGGCACTAAGGACAGAATAAAAAATAACTACAGGGAACCGTGGCTTTGATAATACTGCATACTTACTAGTCCATGGCTCCCCCCTACAATTCCCAGCCTCCCTTGCACTTAGATTCGGCTCGTATGACAAGTTCCATTTCCAGGCTGGAGTATTTAATTGCCAGTGCACAACCCGCCAGCAATCTTTCCCTCATTGAGGCAATCCTGAAAGCCTTGTGTGCAGGTTGTGGAGGCGAGGATGGAAAAGCCTGGATCTCTGAGTTATCCAGTGGAGTAGAGGATCTGTAACTCAGAAAGTGCCTTGACCCATATCAGGCATTGCTTGAGTGAGAAAAAATAGACCATTGTTAGGTTAAGCCATTGAGCTATTTGGGTTGTTTGTTACCATAGCAAAGCCTAGCCTATTCTGACCAATATATAGAAATTGTTTTAGCCATCCAGTATCAAACCTCCTTATTTGAAGAGAACTTTCTCCCTCCTTATGGTTTTTGCCAAATCCAGTGGTCGCTTCTCTATTCTTTCCTGATTTCTCAGCAGCATTTGTCACAACTGACCACTCCCTGCTGGAAACATTTTACCATGGCTTCTGTGACATCACACCTGCCTGGTTTTTCTCCTCTGACAACCCCTGTTTCTCAGGTTCCTTTGCTGGCTCCTCTTCCATTGTTTTACCTCAAAAGTTTGAAGTTTCTCAGGGCTTATTCCTGGGGACCTTTCTCATGGTTTTACATGCCACCCATGAGAAAGACACCTGGTACCTTCCATTATTCACTCTACCCCTCTCTATTAATTACAGAGCCCCTATTTTTAGCTGGGCACGCTGTGTCCAGTTAAAAGACTACATTTCTCAATATAGCCATGGGACTAGTTTTGGCCAATGAGATGTAAGCAAAAATGTGTGGGACTTCCAATGCAGTATCTTAAAAAGAAAGGATGCACTTTTCCCCCTTTCTCCTCTCTACTTCCAAAGGTGGAACATAACGAGGTGAACTTAAGATTGAAAAGCCAGTGCTGAGTGTAGCAGAGCAGCCCTGGACTGCCTACCCCTGGACTTCTTTTTTTGAAGAGAGAAATAAATCACCGGGTGCCTGGGTGGCTCAGTCGGTTAAGCGTCTGCTTTCACCCAGGGTCATGATCCCAGGGTCCTGGGATCGAGCCCCGCAACCGCTTACCCTGCTTGTGCTCTCCTCTCTCTCTCTCTGTCAAATAAATCAAATCTTTTAAAATAAATAAATACATTTCTATTGTAAGTTATTTTTTTTCTTTTGTTATGTGCAACTGAACCTAACCCTAACGGACCATTTCTGTTGCTGTCGTAGTTGCGTGTTTCCTCCCATCAGGAAGGCTGCCGAGAGCACAAGAGAGACACTTACAGGGGAAAAAAAGGTGCTAGGCCTCCTTCCACAAACTGTAAATAACCAAGCTACCCGGAGGTGAGAGTGGGAGGTGGGCCTAGCAATACAGTTTATTAGCTCACAGAGAGCACTGAATGCTAGATTAAGGAATTCGGGCTTTATTCTGCAAATCCCTTGCAGATAGGGGACCCTGTCTGTCTTATCTAGTAATGCCTCCACTTTGTAGATGCGTAACGAATGACTATATTCTTTATTAATTAATGCTGTTAACAAAAGAAGTGTCGGAAGGTGGACCAGTTGGGAATCACCATGTGATCTATCCTTGCCCATGTTTTACAGATGAAGTAACCTCAGAATCATTTGCTGTAAGGGGCAATCATCCTATCCGTGAGCAAAGGCAAACCGAAAACTCCACCTCGGGGATGAAGGCGGTCGGGGTGACGGAATTGGGGGAAGAGGGCCAAGAAAAGCAGTTGGGTTAGTGCCTCCACAAGATGGCGGCCCTGGAACCCCATGACCGGGAGGAGGCGGAGCTCCGCCCCAGCACGCCCGGCCCCACCCCGCTCGGCCCCGCCCAGCACCCCCCCTCCGCGCGGGGGGGGCGGTGCGGGTTGTGAGGTGTCTCAGCGAAGCGCCTGCGCAGTGGGTAGCGGCGCGCGGGGCGGAGGCTTTATAACCACTTCGACGCGCCCGCTTGGCTTGCAGCTCGGGGAGGGCGGCTGAGGCGGCGGCGCTCGCCGCGCCGGTTGAGGGGGCGCTGAGGCGGGAGCTGTGGCGGCGCTGGGCGCCCCTCGCTCCTCGGCCTCTGGGGGCCATGGGCTCTGAGAAGGACTCCGAGTCGCCGCGCTCTACATCTCTACACGCGGCCGCGCCCGACCCCAAGTGCCGCAGCGGCGGCCGGCGCCGGCGCCTCACCTTCCACGGAGTCTTCTCCGCCTCGGCCCGCGGTCGCCGCGCCCGGGCCAAGCCACAGGCCGAGCCACCGCCCCCGGCCGCGCCGCCGCCGCCCGCCCCGGTCCCGGCCGCGGCCCAGGCCCCGCCGCCCGAGGCGCTGCCCACCGAGCCGGCCGCCGAGGCGGAGGCGGAGGCCGCGGCGGCGGCCGGGCCCGGGTTCGACGATGAGGAGGCGGCGGAGGGCGGCGGCCCCGGCCCGGAGGAGGTGGAGTGCCCGCTGTGCCTGGTTCGGCTGCCGCCCGAGCGGGCCCCGCGCCTCCTCAGCTGTCCGCACCGCTCGTGCCGGGACTGCCTCCGCCACTACCTGCGCCTGGAGATCAGCGAGAGTCGGGTGCCCATCAGCTGCCCCGAGTGCAGCGAGCGACTCAACCCGCACGACATCCGCCTTCTGCTCGCCGACCCGCCGCTCATGCACAAGTACGAGGAGTTCATGCTGCGCCGCTACCTGGCCTCGGACCCCGACTGCCGCTGGTGCCCGGCCCCGGACTGCGGGTGAGCGCGGGGGCGTGGCCGCCGGCCGGGGCAGGGGCTGCGGCGGAGGGGACCCGGGTTGGGGGACTGGACCCCCACCCCGCGTGTGGCCGGCCCGGAGAGGCGGTCCTCGGTGCGGCGTGTGCGTGTGTGTGTCCCGGCACCGAGGGAGAGGTGAGGGCTGAGCAGCGGGAGGGAGGAGAAGGCGGCAACTGCGGCGCGTTGGTAACCGGTCACTGTCCGCAAGCCCAGACGAGCGGGGGAAGGCACCCGCCACCCGCCCTGCCCGAGGGCTTGAGGTGGGGGCTGAGCAGTCGGGGAGGGGAGGGGAGCTGTCCATCAAGTCAGGAGGCAGGGAGAGGCTTTTAGGTGGGGTGCACGCCCCTCTGTCCAGAGGTAGGGGCCATGTCTTAATGACGGCGGGCAGGGGATAACGGGCAAAGGAAGGGATGAGAATATTCTGAGGGCCTCACAGCATTCGGAGGGGTGTGTCCCTTTGGCCAGGGGCAGACTTCGCAGCATTACGGGAGAAGGTGTGTTCTCGCAGCTGCTAAAGTTGGGATGGAGGTGATGGAAATGGCACTAGGGGGAAAGGACAGCTCACTGGCAGCTCTGGGGCTCTCTGGGCAGTGTGTGCCTTCTGTGCCAAGCTGTTGGAAGGCCCCCTGTGGTTCTTACACTGCTGCCTTGGGCAGGGTGAGGAGTGGACGGACCTTTTCTTTGTCCAGAGAAGCAACGGGGCACTGAGAAGAAGGATGCCCAGAGGCTGACATGGTAGGAGAAAATGTGTTACCCAGCCCCTCTGATCTTGAGTTCTTGACGACAGTCTTTTTAAGGCACCATGTAGCCTGAATTTTTAAGGTCAGTGAGAATATATGCAATATGTGCGGAGACAGAATACCACCAGATTTTACTAGCTAAAGTATTCAATGGAGACCACCCTCCCACCACTTAAAAAAAAATCTGTTACTGTCAGTACATCCCATGAATAGTTGCATGCAGCAAAGAAGAGCTTATCTAAGTGATTAGGAGTCAGACTGTGCCATTTACCAGTTCTGTGACCTTGGGCAGATCATTTTATTCTTGTGTGTTATGTTTTGGGGACAAAAAGATGCTAGGGACTCCTTGCAGTGTGTGAATGTAATGGTAGTAAAAAAGCTGCATGGGCCTTTGCTTCAAAGGAGTTAAGAAGGGCTTTTAATTGTAGCCTGTATACCAAGGCTGTTTTAAGATTTCTATGATGCTGGGGTACCCTGGGTGGCTCAGTTGGTTAAGCAGCTGCCTTCGGCTCAGGTCATGATCCCAGAGTCCTGGGATCGAGCCCCACGTCAGCCTCCCTGCTCAGCGGAGAGCCTGCTTCTCCCTCTCCCTCTGCCTGCCACTCTGCCTACTTGTGCTCTCTCTCTGTCAAATAAATAAAATCTTAAAAAAAAAAAAAAAAGATTTCTATGATGCTACTATTTGTCCCCTTGAAAAGAAGCTGTCTTAAGAGTGTCTAGGACAGTAAGAAGAGTTAACTTCTGGGGCGCCTGCGTGGCTCAGCCGTTAAGCGTCTGCCTTCGACTCAGGTCATGATCCCAGAGTCCTGGGATCAAGCCCCACATCGGGCTCCCTGCTCCAAAGGAAGCCTGCTTCTCCCTCTCTCACTCCCCCTGCTTGTGTTGCCTCTCGCTGTGTCTCTCTCTGTCAAATAAATAAATAAAATCTTTAAAAAAAAAAAAAAAGAAGAGTTAACTTCTGTCTTTCTATTCTGCCAGACTTGGTTAGAGATGGGTGTGTTATTTAACCTCACTGAGATGGGGTTTCTAAATTACTTTGAAGTGTTGTGGTCAAAGGTATGGTGTTTGTCTATGGTAGATCACTTTCACTTTGAATTACTAAGTGTTGGAAACAACCTTGTAGGCTCTTATATCTGGTGGCCTGGTGATCTCACTGGCCTTAGGAGGCTAATGTATATGATAGGTTTTATAAATACTATTGATCTATTTTCCGAACCAAAGGAATATTTACTTAAGAGAACATTGCATGGTTAATTTTGACATAGTATATTAACTCCTTTTTGAGATGTGTTTCCTTGAATTTTAACTGAGAAATGTGGCGTTGCTGATTATCTTTCTGGAAAGCTCCCTTTTTGTTTTTATTTCTCTAAAGTCAATGACTGTCTTTGCTCACAACATTAAAAATGGACAGGAATTAATTTATAATCTTTATGGTGACAACTGTAAACCATTACTAAAAGTTAATAAAGAATTAAGGCCATTTCTTATTTTAGCCAAGTATTGGTTTAGTATCATCTAGAGGGTTTTTTTATTAGTTAAAAGCATTATAATAATTTTATATATTTTTTTTAATGTGTTATCTGTGGGTTTAAAGAAGGTGAAGTCTGCAGAAAGAAAGCAAGCTGGCATCCAAGTATCCCAGGTGCCAGGCGTACATAATTTAATTTGATCCTTACAACATTGTAAGATAGATTTGATTTAGTTTTTACAGATGAGAAAACTGAAATTTAAATAAATTGAGTGTTCAGGGTCATGTAGCTAGTGGGTGATGGAACCAGGCTTGAAACACTGGTCTTAACTCCAACCAAGGCTAATATTCTTTCCTCTCAACCTTTTCTTTTTAAAAAGCATGCACTTGTTGGCATTATTGGGGATGCTACTGTTTGTATCATTTTATCAAATGTGGCCTAAGGACAACTTTGAGAGAGCCATGGATCTGAAATCGTTTCTTTTCTGATTCTTTTTGTGAACAGCCTCTTATCTACTTTATTTTTCTTATCTGAAATAGGCCTAATCCTTTCCTGACTCGAGAAGCTTAATTAATGTTTGCAAAGTGTTTTGAGGTCTGCAATTGGAGGTGTTAGATAAACAGGGAGTAACTTTAAAATTCTGTCATTTCCCAAACAGGTATCTGAGTTCCCTGGGGATGTGGCCAATGGTTTTGCCACCTTTTGAATGCCAGGAGAAAAACAGCTTGTTTTGTTTTGTTTCAAACTGTTCTATTCTTCTGTGTCTGGTAAAAATCATGGATGAGCAGTAAGTGTAATCCCTAGTTCTCTTCTTCTTGTACCTCACCATCTTTACTTTACTTACAGATCAAGTTCTTGCAGCCAAATTTATCAAGTCCTCCCTACGCTCTGTGTGTGTATGTGTATGTATTTAATAGAGTAGGGCTCCCTGCTCAATGGGGAGTCTGCTTCTCCCTCTGCCCCTCCCCATGCTCATGCTCCCTCTCCCTCTTTTTCTCTCTCTCAAATAAATAAAATCTTAAAAAAAAAAAAAAAGAATTACATTTGGCATGGTGCAGGGGGCATGTAAGTGGTCTTACAGAGTTCTGGTCATTAGTTTCACTGTGATTATGATAATGAGAACACTATATATTAAAAGATTTTTTGTTTACAAAATAATTTTAGAGCAGAGTCTTGAATTTTTCTTTTCCCATACTTGAATATGATCTTATTCATAAATAAGAACCAATTTCAGTGGGGCAACATTTGCATTATTGTTTAATATTATTAAGTACAATATTACCAAGTATATTTAAAACATACTTTCAAATGAGATAAAATTGACTCAAAACACAAATAACTGACATTTTTATAGTTCTTTATAATCTTCAGATTATAAGCTCATTCAGGAATAATTTTAGTTTCATACAGGTGGATGGTGATGGTAAACTTATTTTATAAAGGAGAAACCAGTTCAGAGAAGTTTAAGTGTGGGCTTCAATGTCTCACAGCTAATAAATGGTGCAGTTGATACCCCTTAGAGTCTCTGCTTAAGCATGAGTCTTCTCAGAAACCCCCACATCATGTAAATATATAATGTTTTCCTCTCAAGTACCCTGTTACCAATCTTTAAACCCTTTCAGAATCTCTAGAAGACTGAGGGATGAGCAAAGGAGGCAACAGAAAATTTCCTGGTGTGTAGGGGCAGATCTTCTGTACAGATGAATAGGAGATAAGGCTGTCTTGACCTAAATTCTTTGTGCAGGTCCACAACTCCAGCCTCTCATTGCTGGCTCTCTCTCCTGCAGAGTCCCCCTCCTACCTGACCCTAACAGGTAGTATCAGCTGTTGGCCTTCCTGGACAACTGACCTAGACCATCCCATAAATAGGAAGCTTCTGTTCATCTCTAGCATATTTATGAAGGAAGAACAAACTCCTTGAGCAAGACAAATTTCTCAGTCAGTGGAAAGGGATTTTTTTTTTCCTCTCTGAAGCCTTCCTACATCTTTTATCTCTCTCTCTCTTTCTCTCTGGTATGACATTTTAAAAATTGAGATATAGCTGATCTGGACGTCTTCTCTTAATTTAGCTTTGTACCTTCTATTTTCACAACTCTTCACTCTATCCCCCACCCCTCACCTGCCCATCTACATCCAGCTCCATACATCTTTCCCATATTTGCCAGTGTATCATTCTAAAGTGGAACATTTTATATCACTCCCCTGCTTCAAGCTGTTCATACTTGACCTATAAAATGACTTCTTATGTCTTTAAGAACTGATTATTTATATGATCTACCCTTATAATTTAAGCCCCTTTAAAGTCTACTACCATCTTTTCATCTTGTTTTCTTTTTTTCACTTACATCAATATTTTCCAATGTATATTTTGGTATTACTGGAAAGGTAAACATTTTGTGACCAAATAAGCTTGGGGGGAGTATTGGATTGAACAAAATTTATTTCTGAGTTTTTTGTACCCTTTAAACATGCTAATATACACTATAAATTGCTAATGCTAATATACAGTGTAAATCTTCAATCTGGTGTAATTTTCCCAAACTTAAATCAACAGGAAACATGTTTTTGTTTTTTCTATGGCATCTTAAACTGACATTTTCCCTGATTATTTGCAGTTTTCTAAACTCCTTTAACAGTTACTCTGTACAGTTATTCTGTCTTCTGTTCGTGTCCTTATTTAACAATGAATCTTGTGCTCTGAATAGATTGAGAGTTCCTCTAGCCTAGGTTATCCATATTCCAACTTTTTCTACAACTCTATGAACAAAAATTTTCATTAGATCCCAGAAGAATGGGATAGTTGAATTTTGATGAGGTAGATAAAGAAAATGAACAGCCCAGTTTTTGAAAGAGACACAGATAATGGGGGTGGAGGGCAAGAAGAGGACAGACAGATGATCATTCAGTAGACACTTTTGAGAATTATGTAGTGTTGAACTTTCCTTAGGTGAATATTGAGTATTACAAAAAGGACTTAGGCGTTGTCCTCTTGACAGGGAGTTTGGCCTGTTAGAAGAGATTAGATAGATATAGATAACAGATTATAAATTCAGTGTAATACATACTAAAGAAAACACAAATGCTCTTAGAGGGTAGATGAAAGATTTTGCATGATGGTGTCAAGAAAGACTTCACAGAGGAGGTAATATTTGATCTGGGCCTTGAAGAATGTAAGTAGGAATTCATACCAGGCAAACAATGGTGCGAGTAGAGAAAAAAGCATCTTAAACCAGAGTGTTTTGAGCAAGTGAAGTGCATAGAGGTATAAAAATACAGTAGTAAGTCTGGAATCTAGTTTGGTCAGCCTCTGGATGCACAATATAGAGAGCCTGATCTGGAAAGTAACTAGAGATCAATCTGAAAAGGTAGACTGGACTCCAGTTGATAGACTTATCTAAGCCATGCAAAGAAGTTTAGGTTTGAAGGACTTTTTTTTTTCTTTTTTGTTGAAGGACTTTAAGTAAAAGAGTTACATAATGATAGATAACCTTCTGGAATTGGAACTTGGATTGGAGTGGGGAATAAGGAGACAGATATTAGTCTCTTGCAGTTGTCTGGCTAAGAGGTGACATAAATTTAAACTAGGGCAAAAAAAAAAAAAGAGGAAGAGAGTAAGAGTACAACTCATGACAACTTGGTGCATTTCTACTACCCTTACACATGGCTCAGGGTCCATTTGTAAATGAAGTTATGTGGCCTGGAGCTAGAAAGTTCAAACATAATATAGGAACACATTTCTTTAACTACTAGGGTCTGTTAGAGCATAATCAAATTCATAATAATGGGATTTTTTCTCCAGGGCCGAAGTTAGGTAGTGCTGTGGTGTAGACTGTCACATATTATGATATTTCTGAAGACTTAGGAAATTAGTAAATTTATATAAACATAAGGGGAGGGGGAAGGATACATCTGTTTTCTTAGCAGCATGTAATTTCCGTCACCCTCTATTTAGCTTCTTCTTTCTCCCCTCTTATTTAGCTTCTAATTAGCAAACCTGAATGCTTGGTTAAGCCAAGAGCAGGGTAGGAGATAGGCTCCAGGGTAGGACATGGAAGAGAAGGAACAAGATTGTCAAGGTGGCTTTGGTCTCAAGGATGAAGTTTTTTTTTTCAACTACCTGGGGAAGATTACCCTATTCAGAATTTAGGAGTTTGCTCCTAAAATGGGCTTAGACAAAACTTTAGGTCTAAGTTCTAGTACCTGGCATATAGTAAACCAATAGATACATGGATAAGGTTTAAAGATTGCTTTAGGGTAAAGTAATAGCCCAGGAGAAGAGTTAGAATGGCCTGGGGAAGGTGAAAAACTAAACAGGAAAGGGTCTCAAACATTCATTCAACACAAGTATTTTGAGCATGAACCAGTATGCTAGACCCTGAAGATTAAAACATGGATGATACTTTTCCTTGAGTCTAGTCTGGTTGGGGAAGCACACATATAAACAGATAATTAATGTGATAAGTAGTATAAAGTAATTGTACATAGGCATAAAGTAGGCAGCCAGCTGCCTGGAGAGGTTAAGTATTAAGTAGATTTTATAGGGAAGATGACATTTGAGCTGGTTCTTAAGTGGATAAGTATTTGCCAGGGCAAGAAGAAAGGAAAGAACATTCTAGGCAGAAGGAGTAGATTATGCGAAGGCCAGGAAGTAGGATAAAATGTGCTATATTTTTATACCATACCTTTCAGGGCAAGATCTCAAATGCAGTTCTAGAATATGTTTGGTTACACTTGAAGGTGGCAAGCACCTATATCTCCATTTCTGGGATAGAGGTTAAGGCTTGGGGATTTAAATTAGCTCAGTGTCATGCAGTATGAGTCAGGGACAAGGAGCCCAGGCCAGGCGCCCAAAAACAGGAATGCCAAGTCTCGTGCCCTGACTAATTCTGTGTCATGGTAATAGATTGTTGTGGGCTCATGAGTATTTGGGATTATTTTACTTCCTTGGAACCAAATTCCACACCCAAAAGTGACATTATCAATCTTGTCAAGTGTTCATCTTAAAAGAAAAAAAAAATCTGTTAATAAATATTTATTTCCACCAGGTGAGGTAGGAATAGATCAGGAAATGATCAAGGCTTCTTGACTGTCTATGTAATTTGTATCATCAGAAGTTGATTTAAGGTACTGAGGTCATCCAGTACCTTTCCCATTTAACACAAAATAGCAAGCAGGTCACTTTCTTTAGGAGAAACATTGTTTATCTGTAGTAGCTATTTTGCAGCTAGGTTGGGTAAATTTGCTCAGAACTCCTACAGGATATGAATCATTTGCATTCACACATTGACCTATTCTCCCTTTGCTCTTTCTGAGAAAAGTTTTAGTACAGACTGTATTATATAACACAAATGATATGTCATTGATATTTTCAGTGTCATTCTCAAATCAACTTGTAGAATCTATAATAAGCCTGAGAACTTGAGTTGCTGTTATGAACGTCTAATGTACATTCAAAAAAACAAACAGTAGAGTAAATCCAAGAAAAAGTTATTAGCCTTTTTTATAAGTTACTTGAGGTCTTTGGCTATTGGAGGAGAAAGTGGAATAGGGGACAACAAAGCCCAATGGCAACACCTAAGCCTGCACTTACTGACCTGTTTAAAAATTGTTTGAACTTTCACAACTGCTATGTTCCCTTCTTTGTTTCTTTAAATTACTTTTTAAATTTTTTTATCTTAAGTCTTCATTTGTTAGGGTAATCTGAACATTTGGTTGACATATTTTGAACTAGTCAGAAGGGCTAATGGTTGTAAATATATTGGATTGTTTGTGAGAGAGTAATTCTTGGAAAATAAGTGTGAATTATAAGAAACAATTGATGTTGGTGCAGATGGATTCTGAGTTGTGCATCTTTACTAAGAATATGTGTCAGAAGAGAGAAGGAAGGGGAGGGAGATAATAGCCTTATTATGTATTAATTAGTAAGGTAGATGAGTGGTATTCTTGGATTCTGGAGCCTGTCAAGGAAGTAGATATTTCAAGGTATAGATGTGAGCTAAAAAAAAAAAAAAATTTGAAAGATAAAATGAGCTTTCATTAGGAGAAGTTGATCATGAATCCATCTGTGGCTATTGTCTCAGGCTGTGTGTGCTCAGACCAGCTTCCCTGTGGAACTTAAAAATGAAAAAGTATACTTTAGTTTCACTATACTTTCATTTTACAAACATTCTGTCCTTTAATGTAAACAAATTCTAATCTCTCTAAATATAGCAAACCATCAAAACGATATAGTTTTGTACCCTGTTATTTGTGAAACTTGCTGTGGTAAACTCTTAAAGTAGCTTAAACTGTGGCTGAATGCATGCTAGAATCCAGGCTAAATATTGTATTTTCCCCTATTTCTTCAGAAGGTAAATGATTTGTGTTTTTAGAATCTCCAGAAGAAATTTACTTTCTCACATAGAATATGTTTTACAGTTTGTTAGGCATGCTTGTGTGTGTGTATGTTATGAGTTACATGTAGACTCTTTTCTTTATATCATGTGTAGTGGTAACGAGTGTCAGTGTTACCCCACTGAAACTGGTGAATAATGTCTGTCTTTTTCCGATCGTTCTTACCTTACTGATATCTCTTCCTGTTTCCTTACCCAGTTATGCAGTTATTGCCTATGGCTGTGCCAGCTGCCCAAAGCTGACCTGTGAGAGGGAAGGCTGCCAAACGGAGTTCTGCTACCACTGCAAGCAAATATGGCATCCAAATCAGACATGTGATATGGCCCGTCAGCAGAGGGCACAGACTTTGCGAGTACGGACCAAGCACACTTCAGGTCTCAGTTATGGGCAAGAATCTGGACCAGGTATAAGTTGGCATTGTCTCATTTTTCTCTTTATTTGATATTTCATGATGTGAGCCTAAAGCTGGGAGAGATTATTTTGCTGTATAACCAAGTATTTCCTGGGATCAGAGAGCAGAAAATACTTGGTAATACTTTCAATATTATATTTGATATGTAGTTTCTCTCTCTGACAACTGTAGGTTTTCCAACCTATAAATTGGTAAAATTGGAATGCAACAAAATTGAATTGTTTAGTTTCTACCTTTTTAATAATATGTCTTATACTGGTGAGTATATAGGTCTTTTTGCGAGGGACTTTTTCAAAACTTTAATTGTGAGCAGAAAGATAATTAGTATTAAACCTCTACTGTCTTCCTACTAGCTTTAAGTGCATCACCGCTTTTGGAAGTAGGGTACAGACTGAAGGAAAGGAAATAATATTAGTATGGATTAATGATTAACCTTAAAAGGAGGAACCTTGGCAAGTCAGAGTAAACCTATTTAAAAATGTCAGTGGGTTTATTGCCTTTTATAAATGTATTTTATTTCATTGATGTCATTTGGGAGAGGCTGGTAGGAAAGATTTTACCATTCACTTTTTCCTGGCACAGCATAATCTCCTAAATTGTCATTTTAATAGGATAGTTCCTAGCCTGCTGTGAAAATTACTAGGTGTGTGCTACATAGCATACCCAATTATTTTTAGGTTTTGAATTTGAAAGTATCATGGGAGGGGTCTGTGGGTTGTGTTAACAGCACATCACAATGATACTTGCTGAGCCTGAGAAATGAATTTCCTGAGTTAAAGTTTTTCAAAACCTAAAGCCAATTCCAAGCTGCAGACTATTATTCCTGCAGAACTCTGCTTTGAATTCTGCCAGCCTGTTGGCTGGTGAAATTCCATTTTTCTTGGAACCATCTTTGTCTCTAGGGAAGTCTTCTTGTTCAGAGTGTGGCTTAAGTGCTATGTAAGATGCCAGTTTTGGGGATAGGCAGCTCAGTATGAGACAGGATCCATTTTACGAAAATTCCTGAGGTCTAGACATAGCCAGCCTTCCAGTGAAGTGGGTTGCACAATTTAGAATTCTCAGCCAAGAGTTGACTGCCTCCTCACTTTTTATATATATTCCTAGGAATAATAAATCAAATTAGGTTTAACTGGGGGTATTTTTCTGCCCAATCTTCCTTCCCCCCTTAGCAGATGACATCAAGCCATGCCCACGATGCAGTGCTTACATTATCAAGATGAATGATGGAAGCTGTAATCATATGACCTGTGCAGTGTGCGGCTGTGAATTCTGTTGGCTTTGTATGAAAGAGATCTCAGATTTGCATTACCTCAGGTGAGATGGGAAATGTGTCCATTGCTTTATAGTCTTGTTCTTTTACTGATTTAGGGAAAAGGATGTCAAAGAGACACGGTTGTCTGTCCTCTCATTGCAGGATAAGGAAGCTATAAAAAGTTCTTCTCAAACACTCCTCTGACCATGTTTTTCTTCAGTTCAGCAACTTCCAGGGACTATTTTCATTACCTTCCAGAGAGAGTTCAATTTTCCTAGCATGGCTTTGCCACAGTCTGGCCCTAATCTCCTTTTCTAGCTTTTTCCATGTTGTTTTTATACATGCTATATTCCGGTAACCTGGGCTTGCTATTTCCTGTGTCTCCTCTGGCTACCTTTCTTGTTCATGTTCTTTCATAATTGTTCATGTTCTTCCCTTTGCCCATAATACTTTCTGATCACGTCACCCTCCCAGCAAGCCCCTCTTCTCTCAACCTGTTCAGTTCTTATTTCCCCTTCAGGGTCCACTTAAATGCCATTTCATCTATGATACCTTCCCCAGCTTTTTCTGCCTCATTCTTCTGTATTGGCATTCCTTAAATATTTCATTATAAACATCACTACTTTTACTTCATATACATATCTAATTTTGCTAAACTGCATACATTTATTAAGGCCAGAGTTATCTTTTTACAGTTCCTTGCATGTAATGACTTTACAAAGAATTCAGAGTGAATATTAAAATATTGTCCTAAAGGAGTTAATATTTACAAACTTAACATTCATTGTGTGGATGAAACATTACATTTCCAATATAGCAAACTTTGACTTACTTACACTGTACTGATTATCGGGAAACAGAGGTGTGTAAGACATGATCCCTACTTTCAAAATTGCTTATCCTGTCTAGTAAGAGAAGACAAGACAAAGGGAGTGAGCAAAAATGGTTGAACACAGAAGGACTGAGTATAAAAGTAGCCAAACTCAAGAGTATGAAACTTTATGTACATAAAGGGTGTGACAAAGTCTTTTTATATCCTTCCCCAGAAACATAGTTTACACTATCTATTGGGATATGGGTAGGACACATGCCAAGAAAACTATTCAAGTCAATGTTCATTAGCTGCAGGGCACAGCACTTTTGAATGAGATGTCAAGTGTGTAGGTTGTGCAGGATCCCAAGTAGTATATCAATCAAGGAAGCTGGATCATTGTTGGGTTAGGGAGGACAGAGTTCAGTAGCAAAGAAAGGAAAAGAGGTTTCAAGTCTGTAAGCCTGTCTTTACAAACAAAAGTAAAGGGCCCAGAGCTCTAATCTGACCTTGTCTTTTGCTCCCCCTCATGTAATATATTCATTTCCTAAAACCTCTTGTAACTGTTAATCATCTTATTGAAAAAGAAGGCTCTTGCTCTTATCAAGCCCTCTGTTGACAACAGCTGCATTTGTAATATTGATATTAACTTTAGCATGTTTCCTCTGCAGCCCCTCTGGCTGCACATTCTGGGGCAAGAAGCCGTGGAGCCGTAAGAAGAAAATTCTTTGGCAGCTGGGAACACTGATTGGTGCGCCAGTGGGGATTTCCCTCATTGCTGGCATTGCCATTCCTGCCATGGTCATTGGCATTCCTGTTTATGTTGGCAGGAAGGTAAGACATGCTGAGTTCTCTGTGTGTTCTATCCCCAGGTTTGTTGGTAAAGTTTTGAAGGAAATAGGGAGGAGCTTATATTTCAGAGCTTCCTGAAAACCAGCTGGTTCTTAGATAAAAATAACCTTAATTTCTTAAATGGATTTTCATAAACCCCAAGAGATCTGAAAGTTCTTATTAGCATCCTGGGCCTGGTTTGTCTCAGTGACTTAAAGGTGAAATACTTTCCTCACAACCCTGAGTTATTTTGTCTCTTCTTGGATTAACTTTTTCTGTATTAGTGTATGTCACCCTGGTCTGAGTTAGGTTAAAATTTGAGAAAGATGGCCTCTTGGTTGGTATGGGATATATTTTAATATAGATGGAATATTCACTTGTCTTTTTCCACCCCAGCAAAAAGATTGATATCCTAACCTACTGACCTGGATTTTCTTTCTTATTCTTAGATTCACAGCAGGTATGAGGGAAGGAAAACCTCCAAACATAAGAGGAATTTGGCTATCACAGGAGGAGTGACTTTGTCAGTCATTGCATCCCCAGTTATCGCTGCAGTTAGTGTGGGTAAGCTAGCCCAGACCGCGACTCTTCTCTTTCCTTCCCTCTCTTTTCTTCCACCACACCCCCCTACCCAGCTTTCTGACAAGAGCATTTTAGCCAGCTGGCCAGATGTTTCACCTTGGAGGCCCCTACATTTTATGCTGAACCCACCTTGGGAGTTAACTCTATTAGGCACTGTTGTTATGATTATCAGCCACACTAAGTTGTCAGAGTTTGGGATCTTTCATTCCTAAATTAGTGCTTAGAACTCTGTCTGGCTCAGAGAAAAGGTTAAATTAAAGAATATTACTTTAAGGCCTAGTTTTTCACCTTTTATCTTCCTTCTCCACTTGCTAGGGAACCCACAAAATAAAATTACTTTTATTTTGATTTGCTTAATGCCTCACAGTATTTTGGGAGGCATGAGGGTTTGTTTTAGAATAAGAATATTATAACTAACATTTATTAAGGCTCTCCATGTACCAGGAGCAGTTCTGAGGGTTTTGCATGTATTAATTCATTTAATCCTCACAGCACTACAGTCGTGATAGTGAGGTGCTGTAATTTGCCCAAGGTCACTTAGCTGGAACATGAATCAAGGCAATCTGACTTGAGAGCCTGTGCTCTTAATGGCTAAGCACATTCTGCCTTCACAGCAGTCAGATTTTGGAATTAACATCCTGGGGTGATCCTAAGCCCCAGGAGTCACTTATTTAATGTTTTGAGTATTGATTGGTTCTTGGATTAGCATGTCAGCAGTGAGTAGAAGAGGGAAAATAAAATCAACATATACTTACTGTGCTGGGCACTGTACATACCTTCTCTTTTTTTTTTAAGATTTTATTTATTTATTTGAGAGAGAGAGAATGAGAGACAGAGAGCATGAGAGGGAGGAGGGTCAGAGGGAGAAGCAGACTCCCTGCCGAGCAGGGAGCCCGATGCAGGACTCGATCCCGGGACTCCAGGATCACGACCTGAGCCGAAGGCAGTCGCTTAACCAACTGAGCCACCCAGGCACCCCATACCTTCTCTTTTGATCGTTGACAACCCTGGGAAGATATGTGAGATTATACAGCTAGTAAATTGGAGCCAGGATTCTAATCCAGGCCTTTCTAATTCCCAAGTCCAGTCATCGTTCTGTTAGACCCAGCTACCCCTTTAGGATAGCCATCTTCTGTCTTTCTTTGGCCCTTTATAAAGTGGTTTGTCTGTGCTCAGGCTGGGAAGGAGAAATTTAGGGCAGTTGCAACCTGATGGCCTGCTGACTTGTTTCCTTCTCCTCCCCCAGGTATTGGCGTCCCCATTATGCTGGCTTATGTCTATGGGGTTGTCCCTATTTCTCTCTGTCGTGGAGGTGGCTGTGGAGTTAGCACGGCAAACGGAAAGGGGGTGAAAATTGAGTTTGATGAAGATGATGGTCCAATCACAGGTAAAGGGAGGATTTTAATTTCCCTTTGAATTTATGGTGCAGAACAAAAATCAGTAGAATTCAGCACATTTTACGGAGAGATTGTCATTGGATTACTTTGGATAATGAGCTTTGTAGGGGGTAAAGTATTTTTAGCTTTTCATTTCTTTGTTCCAGAATTATTAGGTTAATTCCTCTGGTACTTGGCTCTGTGTGGCAGGTACAAACTAGTAGGATTCCAAGTAACTCCAAGTATGCTGGTAATAGTAGTGATGATAATAAAGTCTTATATCTGCACAGTACTTTATAATTTTCAGAGGACTTTACACAGTTATTATCTCACCTGGTTTTTAGAATAGCTTTCTGAATAGAGAGGGCAGGGGCTATTATTATCCCCATTTAATGGGAACTTCTTTAAGCTTTTGTCTCAACATCTGTTAAATGGGTTTAAGAGCTTCTGCAGAGCTAGGACTAGAGCAAGTCTTCCAGCTTCTTTTTTTGTTCCCCTGACTTCTACTTTGATGTTTTCACTTTACCATATTAACTAAGCTAGGGCACAGAGAGTCCCACAATTTTTGAAGCTTCAACTAGAATCAACACCTAACATGACCTAAACATGTTTTGAAATCTTCATGTTTGATTAGATGGCATCTATGGTATAATGGACGGAATAGTGGACTTGGAATCAGAAGTGTAGTTTTGTGTGACCAGCCATGACTTGGACATGTCATTTAGTTCTAGACTTTCGTTTTCTCCTCTAAAATTCAGTCTGTTATTGCGTAGTTATTGGGAAGATTAAATATTAACAATATGTTAAAACACCTGATGTGTGGTGGCTGCATATAGTAGCTGTTCATTAATTGAGTAAATGAGGATTTTTCTACATGAATATTCTCCACTCTGAAGAATCATTACAGGAAAATAACAGACTCTATTTTGATGCTGTGTTATCTTGAATTGAAATGTTTGGTTCCATCCCCAGTGGCCGATGCCTGGCGAGCCCTCAAGAATCCCAGCATTGGGGAAAGCAGCATTGAAGGTCTGACTAGCGTATTGAGTACCAGCGGAAGCCCTACAGATGGACTCAGTGTTATGCAGGGTCCATACAGCGAGACAGCCAGCTTTGCAGCTCTCTCAGGGGGCACTCTGAGTGGTGGCATTCTTTCCAGTGGCAAGGGAAAATACAGCAGGTAAGCAAATGGATAATTTTTTTTTTTTTTAAAGATTTTATTTATTTATTCATGAGAGACAGAGAGAGGGAGAGAGGCAGAGGGAGAAGCAGGCTCCCAAGGAACAGAGAGCCCGATGCGGGACTCGATCCTAGGACCCTGGGATCATGACCTGAGCTGAAGGCAGACGCTTAACCATCTGAGCCACCCAGGCACCCCGCAAATGGATAATTTCTGACAGAACCAGTTGGAATGATAAGTAACATACCTGTATTGAGCCATGTCTCTGTGCTAAGCACATCTCATATATCATCTCATTTTGATGTAATCATCAGTGGTTTGTGGGGTTTTTTGTTGTCTTTTTTTTTTTTTTTTTTTAATTTTATAATGAGAAAACAGGCTCTGAAACGTTAAATGACTTAACAGAAAGTTCAGTGTTCTTTCCACTGCACCATAGTGGCTCCATATAAAGAGCAATCCTGACTTCAGATTTTCCCTCTAAAACATTAGGCTGCCTGCTTCTAGAAGGGAAAGCATGCATTTTTGTAGAATTCCCAAGGCTGTGCTCCCCATTAGGCTTGTCATTGACTTTCAATTGAATAGCATTTATACTGTGTCTTGTTGGCTTACTGGTGCTGTGATCCTTATTACTTTCTTATTCTTATTCCCATTTGATAGATAAGGAAAATCAATTCTATGATTTTGTGTTGAGAAGCTGTAAAGCTTTATGACTAAAAATGTTATGACTTGCTTAGTCATTTAGTTAGATAGATAAACCAGAACGTATTCAGAGGAGCATAGCAGGTATTATATGAGAAGCAGTTAGTTGAATGCACTGGAGAAGAAAGACCTGCAGATGGGGCAAAACAAGGTAGGCAAGTAGGAGAAATGGTTGCCTTCAGATAACTGAAGGACTTTGAACAGGAAGAAAGGATTCTGACCCATGCCAAGAGGTAGATTAAGACAACTTGGCGGAAGCTAGAAGGAAACTTAATTTTGTTTCATTATAGAGAATATTGGAAAAATCTATATAAAAGTTCAAAGAAGGATTGGATTACTTTAGAAGATACTGAGCTGCCTATCCCTGGAAGTGTTTAAAGTAAGACCAGATGGCCATTTGGCTATTAGAAGGAGTCAAGCAACAGATGACAGATGGACTGGATCCCACACCTGAGTGCCTGTCAGTCACCTGGGAGCCTCTTAAAAATAGATTTCAGGGCCTTATCCCAAAATTAATAAATTGAATCCCCTGGAGTAGGACCTAGGGATCTGTGTTTTGAAAAGGTTCCCCAGGTGATTGCACAAGCTAGCATCTGGGAAGCACCTAAGTGATGACATTTGTGAAAGGCCTCTTCCAATTCTGAGATTCTATGGAAAAGCTGAAACTAGAATGCAGGTCTCTGATTCGACACACTTTCCATTGCACTGCCTCATTTTCCTGGGCCATGGCACATTCTTGAAGGGTATCTGAGGCTGGAGCTGCAGAGTGAAGGTGTGGGCAGTAGGATGGGGGTTGCTCGAATGTGCAGCTGAAGGCTGCTGCTGACCTGTCTGTGCCTCATCACTCTGGTTGTCTCTTGTTAGGGGATCCCGCCCCCACATGCCAGAGAACTCACTGCTGGGCTTTCTTAAAACCATCACCCTTGTAAATAAGCAGACAGACATAATTGGAGACTGACTTGCTGAAATTGCAGCTTAGCCGGTCCAGCTGTTCCAGTTCTGTGAAAGCCTTTTATAGGAAGTGGATGAGTCAGATGGGTTTGACTGTGAAACCTATTAAGAGGAAATACTTAGGTGTGCAGCAAACCGGTGTTAGAGCCAAGGAGGGAAATAGTTCTGGGTTCTCAGCTTTGAGACACCATCGGGAAAGTTTGCTGCTCCTGTGGGAGGTCAGATCCTCGATGTCCTTTAATCTTATAGCCTGGGGGTAATTTGATTGCTAAGTGTTTTGAGTTCCTATGTGCAAGACACAGAGGGTAAAGTGTGAATGAGATGTGGTCTCTCCTTTTTTTGGAACTCACAGATGAGTGAGGGAGAGATGCATAAATTAATTTAATAAATAGGTAGATGCTGTGGGAGCATTTAATAGGGAATGACTGGTTTGCTGGGAGAGTGAGGGGGATGAAACTTCCTCTGTTGTTAAGGACTGAATATGAGTTTGTCACATAGAGAAAGGAAACTTCCAGAGAGAGGGAATAGCATGTGCAAAGTCATGGAGGTAAACAACATATATAGGTGTGTAAGGAAAGAAAGAATTCAGAGTGATTATGATTTGGAACCTATGGTGAGAGATGGAACTGGAGAGAGAGCTTGGAGGCAGATCAGAAAACCAGGAGAGGACTGTTGGCAGTAGAGAGCCAAGAGAGGACTGTTAGAGTGATCAGGACTTTGTCCACACTGGCACTGATGTGGAAGGTGTTGGACTTGAACTTAAGGCTGCTGGAGAGAGAACCCAATTGCAATTTTCCAGGCAGGAGATGTTCAACGCCTAAAGTTAAGTAGTAGCAATGGGGGTAGAAAGGAGGGGACGATTTCAGTAGATATTCGAGAGAGAAACTGTGTGAGCATCTATTTGAGCTATTTGACAATTGGAGAAGATCAGATGAACTCAATTAGCAAGAGAATAATAGAGATGTGTGCCAGGAAGCAGACTGTCTTGGAATACCCAGGTCTCGTATTAACTTGATCGTCCCCTCTTTACACAGGTTAGAAGTCCAAGCCGATGTCCAAAAGGAAATTTTCCCCAAAGACACAGCCAGTCTTGGTGCAATTAGTGACAACGCAAGTACTCGTGCTATGGCCGGTTCCATAATCAGTTCCTACAACCCACAGGACAGGTATGTGAACAGTCAGAGATGCCCAGGAGAGGTTACAGTTTGTGGTCGGGTCCTTGGCCTTCAGAAGCTCAATGCCTCATGTTAGGGCTGTGAGTACCATCAGATGGGATATAGAGTGTGTGCCCTGAGTGCACTGGGTAGGTTCTTGTTATAAGAGTGTTTGGGATCTCTTGATTGATTCTTCTTCTTAGCATTTGATTTTTAGGGGTTTCTTTCTTCCTTTTCTTTCCTTGCCCCATTTTTTGGGGTCTTTTTTGGCTATTGTATAATTATTCTCATGAAACTTAAGGAGCTAGATTGCTGTTCACTGATGTCTGTGGGTCTGTGGCTTTTGCTCTCATGTCACCCTTTGCCTGATGTGACTCCTGTCACCTAGTTCTCTTTATTTTTGAGAAGCTAGTATAACTGATACAGTGTGATTGCAGCACTCCCTACTGGAGAAGTTCTGGTTTCTTCTAATTGTGCCACAGTAGTAAAACTATGAATCTTTTCACTTTCGTATTTGAGTAGGATAGTGTGAGGGTCTGACCCTTAGCTGAATTTTGAAAGCTCTTTTTTAGTTGTGTAAAGAAATTGGCAGAGGTGTGTGTGTGTTCTTAATCATCAAAAGGGATCTAGTTCTTCTTCATCTCATTGGAGAGTTAGGTTAAATTTTTATTTTTGCTAAAAGTGAGCTTTCGTCTACAGTTGACCTATGTTTTGGACTTCTAATCCTGAATCCACAAACTGCTTGTACCAACAGGTATAGCATGAGCCATACATGACTCAGCAAAGTGGATTTTGTCTCCACAGAGAATGCAACAATATGGAAATCCAAGTGGACATTGAAGCCAAACCAAGCCACTATCAGCTGGTGAGTGGAAGCAGCACGGAGGACTCGCTCCATGTTCATGCTCAGATGGCAGAGCATGAAGAAGAAGGTAGTGGTCGTGGCGGCAGTGGCGGCAATGAAGAGGATCCCTCCTGCAAACACCACAGCTGTGAACAGAAAGACTGTTTGGCCAGCAAAGCTTGGGACATCAGCCTGGCCCAGCCCGAGAGCATCCGAAGTGACCTGGAGAGCTCTGATACGCAGTCGGACGATGTGCCAGACATCACCTCAGATGAGTGTGGCTCCCCTCGCTCCCATACGGCAGCCTGCCCCTCGACTCCCAGAGCCCAAGGTGCACCGAGCCCAAGTGCCCATACGAACCTCTCTGCCCCAGCCGAGGGGAAGACTGTCTTGAAGCCAGAAGGTGCAGAAGCCAGAGTATGAAGTGGAATGAATGCTCCTGTTCTGAGAAGCACACTTGTTGTAACTGCATCTTTTGGAATATTTTTTTGGGGAGGCGGGGATTTATGTATTTTATTTCAAAGATTCTCTGGTCACAGGTTTTCCCCAGGGAAATTCTGAGAAATTTGCAGTTTCTTACCAGAAAAAACATGGAGATTTTTGCCCTTAGTCCTACCCCCACCCCCTCCCTCCTTTTTTTAGTTTTAATTTATTGGTTAAACTGATGGTGGCGATTCGTGAGGTGTGTCAAAGAGTGTACAGATGTATGTGTGTATATTGTATGTATGCTAACATATTACTGAAGGACACATTTTAATAAAGATTTCTGTCGTAATTCAACTCAATCTCATTTTCCTTGGCTTGGATAGTTCTACAGAGCCAAGTGTTTGAATAGACCACTCACGGCTTTAACAGTCTCTAGATCGGAGTTTTCCCAATCCCAGGAAAGGATTGTATTCTAATTAGACTGCAGTGGAGTCCTCTATAAACCAGTGACTCCTAGCCTGACAGGAAGCAAAGGTAGCTTGCTTTGGACTGCGTAGTCAGACTGAAGCCTTAGCTGAGTCAGCCATGTGAAGAAGCTGTAGATTAAAATGAACCTTGTTTGCCCTCTCGAGGCAGCTGTGTAGTTTTGCTGTTAAAGCTTTACTTCGCGTTGTAGGCACCAGTAGAAATGTACTTCAGAGGAGGGAAGGGGCGGCGGCTGTTGCAGTGCCTCTTCGGAGAGAGCCCAGTGAATGGTGCAGGGTTAAAACTTGGGGACAAAGTACTCTTACTGGAGAAGGAAAGGTCCTGATTTTGCCTAATCACCAAGCAGTAACCCAGGTGTTTGTTGTATTCTCTGGTATGCACTCCCTGTTCCAAAACGCTGTCTCTGTTTTGCCAATGTAGTTTAAGTAAGAGGGCCTAAGGAATCTGACTAAGATTCGTAATGAAAGGAGACAGGAGACATGCCATCAGAATCTCAACATTTAATTTTATCTGCTCTTATAAAGTCATCAGAATTGCACTAAGTTGGTATTACTCAGGGTTCTGGCTCTGTCTAGAATAATGACCTTAGCAAGAAAGCTCATACATAGTGTAGCAGAAAACCTAAAAGATTCATGAAACCTGATGTAAGATTCTAAATCTGGCAGTAACTTTGTGACTGTGAATCAGTTTCTCTCTCATGCCCCTAGTTTCCCCAACTCTTAAACAATATTTAAGGAGTGTCCAGTGCCAAACTTCTCTAGCCCCTTAGCCCTGGGCCCAGAGAAAGAGTTGAAAACATCCTTTCCCTGAGGACCAGATGGCTTTCTGTTTCCTTCCACAGATGCACCTGCTCCTTGTCTTCCTGGCCTGTGCTTTACCACAATGAGGAGGATGAATCTGGACGACAACTTGGAAGATCCTTATCTCTGGGGCACTGCAGCTAGACTGAGCACATTTCCCTGCACCTAGGACAGGAAGTGCTCTTAGAGGGCTTCGGGTCTCTGGAAGACAATGCCCTAGTGTTCTTGTGTGAAAAGGGGACTTGTTGGAAAAAGGGGCAGACAGTCTGGAAATCTCTGAAATGCAAATAATCAACTCAAGATTGCAGTTCTCTTGAAACCTCACCAGGACAGCCGTTAACTTGGATAAAATCAAAGAAGTCTTTTGGAGGGGCAAGCGTCGGCAGCCAAGCCTGTGTTGTTATCTAGGCTCCGCTTCTTCCTGCTGTGAGACTTGGGCAGTGGCCTCTGAGTCTGTTTTCACTTAGCCAACACGGGGAGAACAATCCTTAACTATGGGGTCGTAAAGATTAAGTGAGATGGTGACTGAAATGCTTTTTTTCCTCCTGCAGGAATAAGAAGAAATAAGTTAAGGGAGATTATGGGTGCCATCTAAGGAAAGCCCGGAACTCTAGACCAGAAGCTATGAAAAACTAAACTTACTCTAATCCTTTGCAACACTCCTGTTGCAGATCCTAGACATTAGTTGATGAAAAGGCCCTTCAGCGCCGCCTGGAGGAGAACATGAGTAATGCATTGGAAAAGTTCTCCCTTTAGAAAATGGGGAAAGTTTAACTTCCTCTTTGTACAGCATTCATTCATTTTGAAATGCCTACCACATTTCAAGTGTAGAATACAGCAATGAAGAAAACACAAAATTATTGTCCCCGTGGAACTTACACTCTAGTGGGGAAAGACCATCAGGTCTATAATCTGGATGAGGATTAGTGCACTGAAGAAAACAAAGCAGGGAGAGGGAAGAGAGAATGGTAGATGGTGTTACTTCAGATGGTAGTATAGGCCTCTTTGATAAAAGTAATTTTTTTTAATCTTTTTTTTTTTTTTAAGATTTTATTTATTTATTTGACAGAGAGAGCGCACAAGCAGGGTGAGTGGCAGGCAGAGGCAGAGGGAGAAGCAGGCTCCCCGCAGAGCAGGGGGAGCCTGATGCGGGACTCGATCCCAGGACCCTGGGATCATGACCTGAGCGGAAGGCAGTCGCTTAACCAACTGAGCCACCCAGGCGCCCTGATAAAAGTAATTTTATCAGAGTCCTAAGGGGAGTGAGGAAGAACCAAGTGAATATCTAGAGGAAGAATGTAACAGTCATTAGGAACAGAGTACAAAGACTCTTTGGTGGAACATCCTTAGTCTGATTAAAACACATGCACACACAGCTTAGAGACCTATATGGCTGGGGATGAGAGTGTGTAGATTAGCAAAACAGCTCTGAAGACAAGGAAATTTTAAGTTTCTCTGAGGCCAGGAAGAGAGGTAATCTTCAAACCAGAGAGATGGGATGCTTGCAGTCAACTTTCAAAGGGGCTAAACCTGGGAGAGGGTGCGTCTGGTCACCAGTCTGACTTGGATGGACTAATGTGAAGAAACTCATGGATATGGTACTTATTCATTCTGACCCTTTCTAATACACTTTCTTGTACTCCAGAGCCTGGAAAGCTAAAAACTACATGTCTTAAACTTCCTTAAACCAAGGTTCTGAATATAATTTAAGTTTTGCCAGTTAAATGTGCAAACAAGATGTGGAAGGAAGAAGTGACTGAGGGGTAATCTTCAGCTATTTTGACTAGTTGCTACTGCAAGGATATAGAGACCTTGGGTTTCTCTTCAACAGTATTCCAATATCCGTCCATAGTTTTGTGAGTGAAGGGCTTCCTGATCCATAAATAACAGTGATAAGTGTTCTTATAGTCAGCCTGTGGTGGCCTCCTGATGCCTCATCTTGATGGTCACAGAGGTCTACCAGGGTAGACCAGTCAGTTTTTCCTGGAGGTCCAGCCTAGAGCCCACTTGCTCAGGCTTTCCAATTCTGGCAAGCACCTAATTTATTTGTATTGAATCCTTTTCTACTTAAAATAGGTACAAGGGTTTTGTTTCTTACAACTACTAATTGCTGGTAATGGTATTTGGTTCCAAAAATGGTTATAGGCAATAGGCCCTCAAACATGGTACTCTTAGATTAGTTGTGACTCTGTTGGACTTGAAGGAAATGAGGATAAAATTGCCATTGGAAAGCAGTAGACAAAGATTACTTATATTTGTGGTCACTTGAAATGTCTTTTGGAGGACTTTGGCAGATCAAATGGCTGCCACTACAGACCCATCATGTAAGAAATGAGGGCCTAGATGGTGGTGGCTATGCTAAAGAAGTAAAGAAAAGAGGGGTGCCTGGATGGCTCAGTCGCTTAAGCATCTGACTCTTGGTTTCAGCTGGAGCCATGATCTCAGGATCTTGGGATTGAGCCCCACATTGGGCTCCATGCTCAGCTGCAGAGTCTGCTCGGGATTCTCTCTCCCTATCCCTCTGCCCCCATCCCCTCCCCCCAACACACGGGTGCACTTGTGCACATGCGCCCTTTCTCTCAAATAAATGAATAAATACAGTTTTTTTTTTTAAAAGAAGTAAAGGAAATAAAACCAAAGGCTCAAGAACTTTATGTTTTCAGCTCAAGGCATGTATAGGAGAGCCCCAGAAGAATTTCATCTCTTGCAACTGCAAGGCTGATACACATGAAAATCGGAAGGAGATTCTGGGTTATAGAATTACAACATAAGTTGAATTCATAGCCTTACCATGTCTCTTTTTTTTTTTTTTAAGATTTTTTTATTTATTTGACAGAGAGATGGAGAGGGAACACAAGCAGGGGGCAGTGGGAGAGGGAGAAGCAGGCCCCTGACTGAGCACGGAGCCTGATGCGGGGCTCCATCCCAGGACCCTGGGATCAAGACCTGAGCTGAAGGCAGATGCTTAATGACTGAGCCACCCCCTTATCATGTCTCTTATGTGAAAATTATAGCATTGTTTGGGAGAGAGTGGAACCCTGAAATGAGAAATTGGGGACATTTGAGTAGATTTGGATAAACTCCAGTGTTCTGAATCCAGAGTCCACTTACCTTCTCTTACCAGCAGAAACAGCCTTTCTTCCCCTCACTGATATGGCTGGTCCTGTCTTACTTGGAGACCCTCGGGTACTTGCCTTGAAAGGAAATGCCAATACTTATGTCCCACCCCATACCCCGTATTGCCACCAGATCTGTAACTAGAGTCCCATCCCAGTATGCTTTTGGAAGCAAACACAAAGTGTGATCTAAGGGAAGTCTTACAGAATTGTAAGATTTTGTTAATTTGAATCAGCAGAAGCCTGGATTTTAAAAGTTTAGACCAGGAAGAAAAGAACATTATTTTCATTTGGGTTGAATTTATTAATATGAAAATTCTAGAGATACTGGATTCAATATATTGACTTGAGCAGCTAAGAGTCCTTCTTAGCTGGTTGGTTAGATGAAGCCTGGACTGAAGAGTGGTCTACACTCAAATTGAAATGCCAAACATTCCTTAGTATAGCATTAAAAGATGAATCCAAAAACATGAAGATAGAAATGTTGATGCAGATTTATCATATGTGTGACTTATTCATCTAATTTTGCCCTCCAGAATTGCTCAGAGGATATTCCTTTCACCAAGGAATTGGAAAGTACACAGATAAGGGGAACACCTTATCTGGAAAAATGCTATAGTTTATATCCTCCATAGGCTGGGATTGAAGCTCAGAGATGCTGCTGTTGAAATGGAATCCCTGATATCAGTGAGGATGATGGGATCCTGGAGTGGCAGGCGCCAAGGGGCAGTACAAAGGCAGCGGAGCCGGGGTTGATAGTCCTATTTGGTTTATATAACCCAAAGCAAGACTCCAGATCTGGCAAAAAGAGGCCTATTTTGAGTCACCAAAATGGAGTTACAAACTCTCACTGAATTCTCAGACCCAACGCCCTTGAATAAAGGGGTGCTTAGTGCCCTGGAGGGAGCACCCAACAATATCACCATAACTGTAATTGTAAATCTTTTCGTCTTCCCGAAAGGAACCTTAAGCCATTTATCTATGTTCCTGTGGTTAGGGAAATGGAAATACCCAGGCCTTTCGGGAATACTTAGAAACTAGGACTATGCTAGCAGTAATCCTAAGGGATCTAAAAGGTCTTTGTGGGGCGCCTGGGTGGCTCAGTTGGTTAAGCGACTGCCTTCGGCTCAGGTCATGATCCTGGAGTCCCTGGATCGAGTCCCGCGTCGGGCTCCCTGCTCGGCAGGGAGTCTGCTTCTCCCTCTGACCCTCCCCCCTCTCATGTGCTCTCTCTCATTCTCTCTCTTTCAGGTGAATAAATAAAATCTTTTAAAAAAATAAATAAATAAAAAATAAAAGGTCTTTGTGGTCCACTAGTTAGAATAGAGGTTTATGGGGTGTTACGGGTTGAATCATGTCCTCCAAAAATGTATGTGTTGGAGTCCTAACCCATAATACCTCAGAATGTGACCTTATTTGGAAATAAGGCCATTGCAGAGGTAATTGCATTAAAATAGGTCATATAGGAGTAGGGTAGGCCCCTACTCCAATATGATTGGTGTCATATGTAAAAGGAAAAATTTTAACACAGAGACACAAAAACAGAGAACGCCACGTGAAGATGAAGCCAGAGATCCGGATGATGCAGCAGAAGCAAAGGAATTACAGAGATTGCCAGCAAACCACCAGAAGAGGGAGAAGCCTAGAACAGAGTCTCCCTCACAGCCCCTCAGAAGGAACCAAACCTGCCAACACCTTGATCTCAGATTTCTAGCCCAATCAGTTTGTGGTGTTTAAGCCACCCAGTTTGTGGTACTTGTAGTAGCATATCTTGCAGACTAATACATGGGATCAAATAGTTTAAAAGGAATTTTGGCCCAGATCTATCTCACATATTCATCCTGTGGTTATTTCTCAGTTCCGGTAGGCACAGTTGTAACACATACTTGGCAACTGGCAGAATCTTCGCATTGACCTCTAGAGTTAAAGCTATTGTGGTAAGAAGAGCAAAAGAAAGCCCTTGGAACTGTCCTTTCCCAGCAGAATCATAATTCAAAAGCAGGAAGTGCATCCCTGAGGGCATGCTAGATATCACTGCAACCCTCAAAGACTGAGAAGGTCAGGAGTGCTGATCTCTATCTTATCCACATTTAAAGTACAGCTTTGCCCTGTACAGGACTTGACTCGCAGCTGTTATTTCAGATATAATCTCTTCATGAAGCAGGTCAGCACCTGCCCCAGCACGTGGGGCAGTGACCTGGAAGATGCTTTCTTCTCTAGCCCTATGAGCAGAAAACATCACAAGCAGATGACTTTCACCTGCCAAGGTCAACAGTCCATCTGACTGTCCTACATCTGGGTTATATCACCTCTCCAGCTCTGTTGAAATCCCATTGGTAGGCACTTAAATCATCTCATTTCCCAGCACACCACTCTACATGTGATAACATCATGTTTTTGGACCTAATCGGAAGTAGCAGGTGTCTAAATGTCTTGGTAAAACACATGTGTTCTAGAGGCTAGGAGATAATCCCTGCGCAGATTATGAGCCTGCCACCTCCAGGAGGTTTTTAGGAATCCAGAGCAGTAGCCTGGAGCATGGTAGGTTATCTACAGTGAAAGATAAACTATTGCACTGTACACCTGCCGCCACTGAGAAAAATCCTGAGAATTTAATCTTTTTTGATATTGGAGGTAACCTACCACATTTGGTTATGCTGTGCTGACCTGCTTACCAAGTAACTAATATGGCTACTGACTTTGATGGGCCAAGGAAAAGAGAATGGTCACCAGTTGGAATAGGCTGCAATGTAACCGGTTTGGATTTTATGACCCAGCAGATCCAGTGGTGTTCAAAGTCTCTTGGCAAATGAGGATACTGTGTACATACACACCAGCAAACTTCTATAAAAGAGCCACAGCACCGGGCCTTAAGATTTTGGAGTCAAGTCGTGCTAATTTTGGCAATGCCTATTCTTTTGAGAAGCTGATGTTGGCTTACTACTGAGCCCTGCTCCATGCTCTGGGGGGACTAACTACACACTTACTAGCAGATCAGATCCCTTCCATCACCGAGAACACAGGGACTTTCCTCGCTGGAATAGACACACATTCAAGATATGGATTGTTTCCATGAATGTCAAACCTAAAATATTCACAAAGAAACGTTAAATAAAATTTCAATTATTATGAAACTAAAGACATTCCCCCCCCCTTCCCATTATTCTAAATTTGATTGTACGTTCACTTTGAGAAGCACAGTGGTTAAGATGATAAACTCCAGAGCCAGAATGCCTGGATAGGAATTTCTTTCTTTTTTTTTTTTTTTAAAGATTTTATTTATTTATTTGTGTGAGAGAGAATGAGAGAGAGCACATGAGAGGGGGGAGGGTCAGAGGGAGAAGCAGACTCCCTGCCAAGCAGGGAGCCCGATGTGGGACTCGATCCAGGGACTCCGGGATCATGACCTGAGCCGAAGGCAGTCGCTTAACCAACTGAGCCACCCAGGCGCCCTGGATAGGAATTTCTAACTCCACCATTTAAGTAGCTTATGACCTTGAGCAAATTATTTAACCTCTCTATCTCATTTTCATCATTTGGGACTGTGAGAATTAAGTGAATACATATAACAGAGCCCAGCCTGTAGTTAGTACTACATGTATTAGCTAATATCATTTTCATTTATCATCATCCATGAACTTACTGAACCATATTCATCGTGTAGTATTCCACACATTGCCCACCTAGGTGAGCTAAGTAAGCTAGGGCCAATGGGGCTAAGACCTGTGGCCCCAGAGAACAGTCAAATGGCTTACTGAAGACTACTGGAAAACAACATCTTGTGAGGTTGAAGTTCTGTCCCACAGGATGAGGTACATGTTCTGAAACAGTGACCAATATATCTTCTGCTGCTTGTCCCTGTGAATTTGGTCTTTGTTAGTTTAGAAGTCTCAATACCCAGGGGCGCTTGGGTGGCTCAGTTGTTTGAGCATCTGACTCTTGATTTCAGCTCACATCATGATCAATCTCAGGGTCGTGGGAATGAGCACCCTGAGTTGGGCTCCGCACTGGGCGTGGAGCCTGCTTAAGATTCTCTCTCTCTCCCTCTGCCCCTCCCCTGCTCATTCTCTCTCTCTCTCAAACAAACAAACAAAAGCCTCAATACCCAGAGGAGAAATACTTCCACCAGAGCACACAACAATGAGTCCATCAGACCAAAAGCTTTCTGACCAATTTGGTCTCCTCATCCCCTGAACCAATAGCCAAAAGGGGGCCATCGTGTTAGGTAGATTGATCTTGATTACTGAGGGAGATAGGTCTGCTATTGCTCAGTGGGAGCAAGAAGGGGTATGTCTGGAACCTAAAGGACCCTCTAGGGCTACTTCCAGTCCTTCCATATTCAGGACTCAAAGTTCTAAAAGAAATGTACGAGGGCACCTGAGTGGCACAGTTGGTTAAGTGTCTGACTCTTGATTTCGGCTCAGGTCATGATCCCAGGGTCCTGGGATGGAGCCCTGCATCAGGCTCCCTGCTCAGCTGGGAGCCTGCTTCTCCCTCTCCCTCTGCCCTTCCCTCTGCCCCCCTCTCCCGCTCATGCTCAATCTGTCTCTCAAATAAATCAATCTTTAAAAAAATTTTAAAAATGTATGAATATAAATAACTAATTCATGAAAAGTTGAGAAATGAGGGCTATGTTGGCATTTCATATGTTTTCCTTGCTCTATTGTGTATACATTTATAAGTATCAACCCATTTCTTCCTTACCTCCCACATTTTCCCTAGTATTATAAGGTGTGTTATTGTTGCTAACTTGATCATGTAATCCTTAGGTTGTTGAGGTAGAATTCCTACTGAACTAGGATGAACATCACCCAGAGGTGGATACACGACTAATGGGACTTTGGATATCTCCTTTTAGGGAGCATGTTTCGGTCCCTAAAGGATCAAAGGGTAAACTAGCGTAGATATGGCGAATTGGCCATCAGGATCTGTTCCAATCTCTTCCTCATACTGCCAAGTCTGAAAAGTTAAACACATAGTGTATTTCCCAGAATCCCTTGTGGTCGACATTCTACACGCAAATTAGGGTCTATAAATTGCATCCACTTATATAAGAGTTGGGAGAAGAAGGTCAAGGCCAAGGTCACCTCCCAGCTGTATGGTTATTGCTTTGTGTCCCTGGCAACCTTGGGTTACTGTTCAGCAGCGTTCCAGGGTCTAATCACTAGCTTCATGAGGTTGAAAGCAGCAGTAGCAACAGTGGGGGTGGGGGGTGGCCTTCTGAGCCTGAGACTGCAGCCACAAGGGCAGGGGGTGTGTGTGTTTAATCATCCTTTCACCATCTTAAACTGTACAACTCAGCAAAAAATAAACTGTCCAACTCAGTAGTTTTTAAATATATTCATAAAGTTGTGCAACTATCACCACTATCTAATTCCAAAACATTTCCATCACCCTCAAAGAAACCTGTTAGTGGTCAGTCCCAATTCCCTCGTTCCCCCCAGCCCTGGCAACCACTAATCCCTACTTTCCGTCTCTATGACCTTGCCTGCTCTGGACATTCTGTATCAATGGAATCATACAATAGGTAACCTTTTGTGTCTGGCTTCTTTCCCTTGACACAAGGTTTTCAAGGTCCATCCATGTTGTAGCATGTATCTGAACTTCATTCCTTTATATGGCTCAATAATATTCCATTGTATATTGTACAGATATACCGCATCTTGTTCACCCATTCATCAACTGATGGACGTGTAAGTTCTTTCTACTTTTTGGCTAATGTGACCAATGCCGTTATGAATATCGGTGTACGAAAATCTGTTCAAGTCCCTGCTTTCAACTCTTTTGGGTCTACACCCAGACATGGAATTGCTGGATCATATGGAAATTCTATGTTTAATTTTTTGAGGAACCACCATCCTGTTTCCACAGAGGCTATACCATTTTACCCACCAGCAATACACAAGGGTTCCAATTTTTCCACATCGCTGCCAGTCCTTGATACGATCTTTTTCCTTGTAGCCATCTTAGTGGGCATGAAGTGGTATGTGGTTACGATTTGCATTTCTCTAATGACTAATGATGTTGAGCATCTTTTCACTCACTCCTTGGCTATTTGTATGTCTTATTTGAAGAAATACCTATTCAGATCCTTTGCTTATTTTTAAATTGGGTCATTTGGTATTGTTGAGTCGGAAGACCTTTTTATATATTCTAGTTAAAATTCCCTTAACCGACATGCGATTCACAAAATCCTTCCATTCTGTGGGTTGTCTTTTCCCTTGGTACGTTCTTCAGTGCAGGAATTCTAGTAGTGGCCTCACATGTGATTCACAAAATCCTTCTTCCATTCTGTGGGTTGTCTTTTCCCTTGGTACGTTCTTCAGTGCAAGAATTCTAGTAGTGGTTTCCTGACTCATCGCCTTCATCCTTGTGCCAGAGTTATAGCAGCTACTCCGGGATCTTGTTCTAGGAGTCATTCCTGGAGGTTTATCCCAGAACCCACTCCTCCAGCCCTTCCAACTATTTCTTTGAGCATAGGATTCCCTGTATGAAATCCTTTTCTGCTTGGAATAATTAGAACAGTTTTTCTTTCCTGAGACTGAGCCCTGACTGATAAATAGCACAACTTGAGACCTGCCAGCAAGGATATGACATAGCATTTTGCTAGAGCTGATGGGCAACCATGCTATAATAATAATAAATTCCTGGAAAGTCAGATTTGGAAGCACCTTTGAAGATCAACTGGTCCAACCCTTTCATTTGTCAAACGGAGAAACAAATTGAGACACAATGTGAAAGACACACAACCCATGAAGCTGAGTGCCCACAGTTCCCATAGCCTTCTCCCAAGGCCGGTGGACCTGAGCTGATCTTGCTCCCTGGAATCTGTGATCTAGGTCACGTAAATCCAATGAGGCCAGCCCTGCCAACCTTCCTGCAGCTGATTGGACACAGGATTTGTGTCCAAGCCAAATGCTGCCATGAACAACCTAGATGTGACAGAAGCCAACCGCCTGTGTGAGACTGCCCGGTATGGGAGACATAAGGGCTAAAGGACACCCAGAGCACATCACAACGTAATCGTTCCTGTTCTCCAGGGACCTAGTGGGCTGCTGACATGGCTTCCTCCCTCTCCTTTCCCTAGCCCCCATTACTGAAAGTCAGCAGAGCTTGGCTCTTCCTTGCCCACCTGAAGAAGCTCATGGATATACACAAACATGGCCACTGGTTTTCTGGGGATCACAGCTAGATTTAAAAAAAAGGGGGCACCTGGGTGGCTCAGTTGTTAAGCATCTGCCTTTGGCTCAGGTCATGATCCCAGGGTCCTGGGATCGAGCCCCGCATTGGGCTCCCTGCTCAGTGGGGAGCCTGCTTCTCCCTCTCCCACTCCCCCTGCTTGTGTTCCCTCTCTCGCTGCGTCTCTGTCTGTCAAATAAATAAAATGTTAAAAAAAAAGAAAAAGAAAAAGCAGGCCACAAACGCAGGTCTGGAATTCCAGACCTTATGCTCTTTCCACTTGGACAAGACTGTGCAGCATGAGAGCGGGGGGTGTCCTGAGTGCAGGGAGACTAGAGGAGGCTGCTAGCTCTGTGGGGTTGAATTCTGAGGCCCAAGTTGTCATCAGAGGGATCCAGCAAGAGCAGGATTACAGCCCCTCGTATTAGCCTGCACTGGAGATGCTGCTTCACTTTTCTTCGGTGGGTCTGCCTTTGCGAGTGGCTTGGGATAGAGTTCTAGATGCACATACTGCTTGGCCATTCCTGAGGCCCCTGCCTTTGAGGAAGTCCATTTGTTGCTCACTCTATGTGGACAGGGCCTCTGCTCAGACTTGATGCTTGGACATAGAAACTGACACCCAGAGACAGACCCAGGCCACGGGGATGGGAAATCACCAAGGAAAAAATGGCACCGGAAACCATAGATGTGAGTGAGAGGAGGACTGGCTTTCTCTTCCCAGAAACCTTTCACTGATGAGAGCAGCGAAAGGAGCAACCAGAGAAAGGGGAAGGGGAGCCAGGAGGGAACAAAACACGGGAAGCCAAGTGGGGGGAGAAGTCCAGGAAGGCAAGCACGGTGAGCTGACACGTGGGGCCGGTCTAGCTGGCCGGGACCTGGGTTTGTCACAAGGGAAGTAATTGCTAACTTCAGAGAGAGCCATTTCGGAAGACAGCAGCGGTAGAGAACGGATTTCATTTAGTTGAGGTGTGTGTGAGTGGCCGGGGAGGAGGGAGAGATGGTAGACAATTCTCTCCTAAGAAGGGGAGATTTTTTTAGTAGGAGAGACTCATGCATGTTTGGAGGCTCAGGAGAAAATAGGGAGAGAGAGGAAGCGATTTCATGGCGCTCTGCCTCTAGAAGCCAGAGGGACAAAAATCAGGCGCAGGCAGAGGGGTTGGCTGTGGACACGAAGGGGCACCTCCCCCCTCAGCTTGGAGGGACATGAAGACGACCATGAGATTGAGTGTCCTTCCTGAAGGGGCTAATCTTCCCTCTGAGAAGATATACAGTGCCTCCAACAGAACAGATAGCTGATAAAGAAATACCAGTCCTTCCTGCCCTCCCTCACTGCGTGGCTCCAGTCCTCTGAATCCACACGGGACGTCACTCGGGGCTGTTACAAGGCTAAAGAACTCAGCCAGAGCTGGAGAAATTCAAGGCAATCGCGGACTTTTCTGGAATTTCAGAGGAGTAGAGGCTGCTTTCTCCCAAGGCTCCTAAGCTGGGAAGACGTAAGAGAGTGTGGCTCTTCCCCCATGGGGACAGACTTCCAGACAACTGAAACCACACAGAGGAAGGCAGAGCTGAGGAACGGAAGGCAAGAGACAGGGACACCATGTGAATAAACACCGAATGACATCGTTTTAGGGCCAGGATCAAACCATGCCTGAAGCCCCTGTACTTTACCGTATCCTGATGCGACAGATTCTTTCCCCCTATCTGAAGCCCATTTCTGTTAGGTGTCTGTCACCTGTAACTGAAGGAAGTGGGGTGTTGCTGGTGATGATCCTTGACCCACGGAAGTGGCAGGGTTGAGATGGGGTCTGGACAGTGAGGTTTTCCTCACCCCAGGCCGGGAGGTCAGCATGCCCTGCAATGTAGCTGCTCCAGAAGCTCAGACCACGTACCTAACACAGGTGGGAGCTCAGGGGCTTGGTAGAAATCTGTCAGGAGGTTGTACGTGTCGGCTGTTTTCCCAAACCTTTAGTTTGTAGTCAAAGATACAAATTTTGCAGACAGAATAATGAATAATAAAAGCTAATATTTCTGAGGCACCCATCCTTGCCAGGCTCTAAGAGCTTTACACGTAGGAATTCACTGAATCTTCACAGTAACACAGAGAAGTAGATACCACTGTTATTCCCCCATTTTACATTTGAGGAACTGAGGCACAGAACCATTTGCCCAAGGTCACAAAGCTAGGCAGGCAAGAGCGACCACTTGAATCCAGGCAGCCTGGCCCCTGATCTTGCGTGCCTACAGCTTTGCCAAGACAGACCGCCTGCAGCCAACACCGTCTGATGGTCACGTGCTTTGCAGGATTGAAAAAGCCTATCCATGTCAAAGCTAAAGTGATGGGAACAAAGGCAGGAAGGCAGGAAACACAGCCACACCCAAGCCCTTCCTGCCTGTCCCCACTAATAGGACAGTTACCCGAGGTAAAGAGCCTTCCACTGGGATGCAGCCTCGTGGTCAGAGTTGCTCCAAGGCAGAGGGGAAGAGCGAGGCCCTGGGCTGAGGACTGGGAGGTCCCGTTGCTGACAGACTCCCCCGGTCTAGATTCAGAGACCGTAGTTCACAGTTCTTCTGACTTAGTTTTTTTTTTTTTTTTTAATTTAATTTTATTTTTTTTTAAAGATTTTATTTATTTATTTGAGAGAGAGAGAATGAGATACAGAGAGCACGAGAGGGAAGAGGGTCAGAGGGAGAAGCAGACTCCCTGCCGAGAAGGGAGCCGGATGCGGGACTCGATCCCGGGACTCCAGGATCATGACCTGAGCCGAAGGCAGTCGCTTAACCAACTGAGCCACCCAGGCGCCCTTGACTTAGTTTTTAACTCATAGAGTTATCCAAATATGAATAGTCAGAAACCTCCCGCATCTTCTAAGGGAGTGGTTTTGCCAGAGAAACCCAAATCCTGGCCCAAGGAAGCCTGCAGTGATCCACCCCCAGGGCAATGTCTTGGTTCCCAACAATACTAACAGGACATCTTCGAAATCCTTCTGAGATGTGGCCACAAAGCTACAACGAATAGGGGAGACCACCCCCAACATGGCAGAGCAGACAGATTGGCTTCATTCTACCAAGTCAGGGAATCCTTGCTGTTCTCCCCCTCCAAGATGCAACACACACCACCGACCATTGGGTGCTGTTTTGTCTCCTCTCCTTTTCCAAAAAAGGGGTGTTTATTTAGAATTACCTTGTGTTCCTCCAGCAGTGCACCAAGGTATTACGTATGCAGCTGATTCACATTATTGTTTACATATAGTAATGTTTCCCAAACTTTTTGGTCTCAAGATTCCTTTACACTCTGAAAAATTGAAGACCTGAAAATTCTTTTGTTTATATGTGTTTCATTACTGATATTGGCCATATTCCAATTAAAATTAAGAGTTTTAGGGACACCTGGGTGGCTCAGTCGGTTAAGTGTCTGCCTTCGGCTCGGGTAATGATCCCAGAATCCTGGGATCGAGCCCCACATCCGGCTTCTTACTCCGCGGGGAGCCTGCTTCGCCCTCTGCCTGCCACTCCCCCTGCTTGTGCTCTCCCTCACTCTCTGACAAATAAATAAATAAAATCTTTTTTAAAACCCCATAAAAATAAAAAATAAAATTAAGAGTTTTAAAAATACATTTATTTATTTAAAAATAAAAATAATAAACCCACTAGTGTTAACATAAACAATACCCTTTTCAGTGAAAAATAACTACATTTTCCAAATCAAAAAAATTAGTGGAAAGAATGACATTGTCTGACAATTTTGCAAATCTCTTTAAATGTCTGGCTTCACAAAAGGCAGCTAGATTCCCATATCTGCTTCTTTATTCAATCTGTTGAGATATGTTGTTTTAGTTGAAGTATATGAACAAAATTCAGCCTCATACAGATATAAAAATGGAAAAAGGAGGATTATTTTTAAAAGCCTTTTCAGATAACTGTGGATATTCCTCTTTCTTTTTTTAAGGGAAGAAAGTGCACACAGTCCCCCACTACCATAAATTATGCAACCAAGTCTCCCACATTTGGGGAAATCAAAAAGGTCAGCACACCCAGAGTGCAACAATGGATGGGTCTCACCCTGGAAAATCACCTTCATGATCATGGTTTTCCCCTGCCGGGTAAGTCTGGATATTTCTCTTTGATATTATACCAAAACTTAACAAATGATAGTTGTGTAAAATTTAGTTTTAGTGTGGAATCTGAAACCAGTCAATTTTTCATTAAACTAAAATGCATTGGTCTATCTTGCACTTTGAATGCATCTTTTATCCATGAATGATTTTGTAACACTTGGAACATAGGGTTTAGTGAGTTATACTATACAGATCTTCCAAATGTCGACATGTTATTATACAATATAAAAAAATCTACTCGTTAATGTCACCATTGATCTTATCAGAAAGTCTTTAAGTGTTGGGAAGCTACTAAGCTATTAAGTGGATACAAATATTCCCAAAGGCTAATTTTCACTCAAAACTGAAATCTTATTATTAGCAGCAAATATTGTCCATTTTCCCCTTGAATCGATCAGCTCACTTCTTTTATTTTTTTTATTTTTTATTTTTTAAGATTTTATTTTTATTTATTTGACAGAGAGACAGCGAGAGAGAGGTGGGAGAGGGAGAAGCAGGCTTCCCGAAGAGCAGGGAGCCCGATATGGGGCTTGATCCCAGGACCCTGGGATCATGACCCTAGCGGAAGGCTGACGCTTAACGACTGAGCCACCCAGGCGCCCCATCAGCTCACTTCTTTTAGAGAAAATGTCTGCAAAAAATATATATATATATATATATTTGCATAATCATGGTGTGTCTTTTGATCCTTCTTTCGAGTAGAAATGGTATTGAACTTGCAACTAGCAGCTAGTTCAGCTTGCAACTCAAACAATACAAGTGCTTTTCCTGAGACAACCACGGTTACTTAGGCATCTAGCAGAATTCTTCCCACTCTGTCAAAATATTTAAAAGAAGTATACTCAAGGGTAGAGATTTAATACAGTTAATAGTTTTTACTGTTTTATCAAGTCATTCTCTTTTTATGATTTTATTTATTTACTTGAGAGAGAGTGAGCACAAGCAGGGGCAGAGGGAGAGGGAGAAGCAGGCTCCCCACTGAGCAGGGAGCCCTTGGGGGGGGGGCTCCATCCCAGGACCCCGGGATCATGACTTGTGCCGAAGGCAGATGCTTAACTGACTGAGTCACCCAGGCGCCCCTTATCAAGTCATTCTTAAGCAAAACTGCTTTATTTATTTCCTTTGCTGTGTGGACAGGGCAGGGAGGGATACACTGATTCAAGCGTAGCTGGAGCTGGGCCTCACTTTACCCTAAGGGGCCAGCTGCTCTACCCGCCATCGCTTTCCCACCACCAAAAAAGGCAAAATAACATCTTAGTAGTATTATGAAAATAGTTTTGACTTCACAGAGCCTCTAAAAAGCTCTTGGGGAGGCTCAGGGGTTTATAGACCACACTTTGAGAAGCACTGATTTTTTTTTTTAAGATTTTATTTATTTATTTGAGAGAGAGAGGATGAGAGAGAACACATGAGAGGGGGGAAGGGTCAGAGGGAGAAGCAGACTCCCTGCCGAGCAGGGAGCCCGATGTGGGACTCGATCCAGGGACTCCAGGATCATGACCTGAGCTGAAGGCAGTCGCTTAACCAACTGAGCCACCCAGGTGCCCGATTTATTTTATTTTTTTTAATTAGGCTCCATACCCAGCATGGAGCCCAATGCGGGGCTTGAATTCACGACCCTGAGATCAAGACCCTGAGATCAAGACCTGAGCTGAGATCAAGAGTCAGGTGCTTAACCAACCAAGCCACCCAAGTGCCCCACTCTTTCTTTAAATCACCTTGGTACCCTTGTCAAAAACCAATTGACCATGCACAGATTTTTATTTCTGGTTTATTTCTGGTTTCTTTATATGTTTTTACTCTCACATCTGTCCCATTGACCTATATGTCTATCTTTATGCCCAGTCTCATGTTGTCTTGATTACTATAGTTTTGTAGTATATTTTGAAACTGGAAAGTATGAATCTTCCAACTTATTTTTTTTTCAAGATTGTTTTGGCTATTTTGGATCTTTTGCATTTCCATATGAATTTTAGGATCCTCTTGTCAATTTCTGCAAAACAAGGGTGGGGAAAGCTTGGATTGTGATAGGGATTGCAATGAATCTGTAGATTGGCTGGGAAGAAATGCTATCCTAACAATATTAAGTCTTACAATCCATGAAATCAGGATGGCTTTCCATTTATTTATATCTTTTAAATTTTCTTTATGTTACTGATTTTAAGCAGAAGAGTGACATAATCTGATTTATACTTTAGGAAGATTACTCAGTAGTGTGTGGAAAAACAAATGGGGGCTAAGAGATGCTACATGAGCAAGGGTAACAATAGCAGGAACAAAGAGGAAAGCACTTGTTACAGAATCATTTATGATGTAACTCAGCAGGACTCAATGATTGTGTAGAAAGAGCAAAGTGTAAAGAATGACTCCCAGGCGGCACACCTGGATGGCTCAGTCGTTAAGCGTCTGCCTTTGGCTCAGGTCATGGTCCCAGGGTCCTGGAATCGAGCCCCGCATCGGGCTCCCCGCTCGGCGGGAAGCCTGCTTCTCCCTCTCCCACTCCCCCTGCTTGTGTTCCCTCTCTCGCTGTGTCTCTCTCTGTGTCAAATAAATAAAATCTTTAAAAAAAAAAAAAAAGAATGACTCCCAGGTTTTTGGCTTGGGGACACTGTGATGTCACCAACTGAGACAGAAAACACACAAGAAGCAGTTTGGGAGAAAAGAGGAAATAATCAATCAGTTGGTACATGTTGAGCTTGAGATGACTGGGACACCCAGCAGAAAGGTCAAGCGACTGGATATTTGAGTCTAATGCTCAGGGGAGCATAGTCTGGTGGTGGTGATTTGAGAATCATCATATAAAAGGAGAGCCAAGAGATGACATGAACCGGGGTGCCTGGGTGGCTCAGTTGGTTAAGCGACTGCCTTCAGCTCAGGTCATGATCCTGGAGTCCCTGGATCGAGTCCCGCATCGGGCTCCCTGCTCGGTGAGGAGCCTGCTTCTCCCGCTAACCCTCTCCCTTCTCATGTACTCTCTCTCTCTCATTCTCACTCTCTCAAATAAATAAATAAATCTTTAAAAAAAAAAAGAGAGATGACATGAACCAACCAATGGGAACAATAAAGGAAGCAGAAACAGGGCGCCTGGGTGGCTCAGTTGTTAAGTGGCTGCCTTCGGCTCAGGTAGTGATCCCAGGGTCCTGGGATCAAGCCCCGCATCTGGCTCCCTGCTGCTCAGCGGGAAGCCTGCTTCTCCCTCTCCCATTTCCCCCGCTTGTGTTCCTTCTCTTGCTGTGTCTGTCAAATAAATAAATAAATCTTTAAAAAATAAAAAATACAGGAAGCAGAAAGGATGCAAAAGATTACCAATATGTAAAAGGTAGAGCACAGGGCACCTGGGTGGCTCAGTAGGTTAAGCAACCGACTCTTGATTTCAGCTCAGGTCATGATCTCGGGGGTCCAGAGATCAATCCCTGCATCTGGCTCTGTGCTCAGCGGGAAGTCTATTTGGGATTCTTTTCCTCTCCCGCTGCCCCTCCCCCTGAGCACGTGCTCTCTCTCTCTCTCTCAAATAAATAAATAAATGTTAAAAAAAAATAGGGGCGCCTGGGTGGCTCAGTTGGTTGAACGTCTAACTTTGGCTCAGGTCATGATCCCAAGATCCTGGGATCGAGCCCCGCATCAGGCTCCCTGCTCCACAGGAAGCCTGCTTCTCCCTCTCCCTCTGCCCCTCCCTCTGCTGCTCCCCCTGCTTGTGCTCTCTCATTCTTACTCTCTCTCAAATAATAAATAAATAAAATCTTTTAAAAAAATAATAAGTAGGGGCGCCTGGGTGAATCAGTCGTTAAGTGTCTGCCTTCAGCTCAGGTCATGATTCCAGGGTCCTGGGATCGAGCCCCGCATCGGGGCCCCTGCTCAGCCAGGAGCCTGCTTCTCCCTCTCCCACTCCCCCTGCTTGTGTTCCCCTCTCTCGTTGTGTCTCTCTCTGTCAAATAAATAAAATCTTAAAAAATAATAATAATAATAATAATAAATAAATAAATAAATAAATAAATAAATAAATAAATGTAGAGCAGATCACAAATAGTCCACAAAGGACCATTTGCAACAACATGCATGGATCTAGAGAGTATAATGTTAAGCTAAATAAGCCAGTCAGAGAAAGACAAATACTGTGTGATTTCATTCATATGTGGAATTTAAGAAACAAAACAAAGAACAAAGAAAAAAAAAAAGACAAACCAAAACATAGACTCTTTTTTTCTTTTTTAAAGATTTTATTTATTTATTTATTTATTTGTTGGAGGGAGAGAGAGAGAGAGAGAAAACAAGCAGGGGGAGTGGCAGGCAGAGGGAGAAGCAGACTCCCCGCTGAGCAAGGAGCCCTTGGAATCATGACCTGAGCCTAAGGGAGACTCTTAACAGACTGAGCCACCCAGACGTCCCCAAACCACAGACTGCAGGGAACAAACTAGTGGTTGCCAGAGGGGAGGTGGGGTGGGGCATAGGGGAAGTAGGGGATGGAAGCCCTGAGTAACGTATAGAATTGGTGAATCACTATATTGTACATCTGAAACTAATAAAACACTGTATGTTAACTATACTGGAATTAAAGTTAAAAAAAAAAAAAGTGCCCAAAGGAGACTGAGAAGGAACAAGCAGGAAGAACCAGGGTGCTGAGTGCCGGGGCAGCGGCTAATAACAAGCAGCCACACGCTGAACCACTTCCGTTGGATTCACCGAGTTAGAAGGCGCTGGTGGCCTATGCAGGGATCTTCCAGCAGGGGGCTGAGCCATGTTGCTGTGGAGGAGGACGAGGGGGTAGCTGAGAAGATGGAGGCAGCACAGGATAATTCATTCCAGAAGTTTGGAGGGGAACGGAAAGGAAACAAAAAAGAAGTGACTAGAAATGTAAAGGGAGTCGAGGGGAGGGGGTGTGGTCTTAGGATAGAAGAGACTTGGGTGTGTTTACGGGCTGGTGGAGAGCACTAGCCGAAAGGGGGAGGATGAGGGAGGCAGTGGGGTCCATGAGGAGCTGGGGGCGA